AAAAACCCCTCCAGTGCTCCAGCATCATCCCAGAGCTGTCTCCTGTCTGGGGGACCCTGGCATGCCACACTGGCCCTGGGTGTATTTCCCCTATATCCCGGGGAAACAGACATTTGCCCGCCTCATTTGGCAAGGATCCTGAGAGCACCCAGCCCACCCCCTGGCAATCTCTTCTCCTAGGCCCCTGATGCTGCTGCTGCCCTTTGGAATTTTCCTTCTGCTCCCTTTCAGATGCCAGCAGTCCCCTTTTGGGCATCCCAACATCCTTTGCTGCCCACCTTCCAAGATCCTGACAGACCCTTTCTTGGCCTCCTGTCCCTAAGCCCTGGGGTCCCAGAACTCCCATCCCCACCCTCAGGCCCCCAAAAGGCCTAGCACTCACAGTGACAGCAGGGTCGGGGAGAAGTTCTCGGGCAGGTCCGGGGAGCCTTCACAGAGGGCACTGTCTTTGGAGCAGGAGCAGCTCAGAGGACATTTTCCCTTTGGGGGTCTCCAGGACACCCCCATCCTGGCCTCAGCCAGCAGCAGCAGCAGCAAAATGCTTGCCCCTCCCATGCCCCCCTCACCCCCACTGAGGCACCGGCTTCTTCCTGCCCACCCAGGTCTGCCCGGACTTCAGCCACTACATCTCCCATGCCAGGGAACCCTCCATTCCGCCAGCTGGCACACTCTGCCCTGGCTTCTTGCTTCTCTTTCTGTTCTTTCTTTCAGTCTGTCTTTCTCCCTGTATCTCTTTGGAGTCCAATTTTCTGTTTATATCTCTTTCCTTGTTCTCCCCCCCCGCTATTTCTTACTCAGTGAGTTAGTCTATTTCCCACTCTGTCTCTATTTCTGCCTTTGTCTCTTTTTCTGTCTCTGTTTCTCTGTCTCTCAGTCTGTCGGCCTCTCTGTGGTGTGTGTCTCCTTCTGTCTTTATTTCTTGTCTCCCAACCCCCCTTTCCAGCTCTCTGTATGTCTCTGCCCCTCCTCCCACACCCCTTTTCCCTAGAGGTTTGGGAAAGGGACTCAATGGGCACCGGGTGCGCCCAAAAAGCTGGGTAAGAATGAGGAGGGGGGTCAGAGGCCATAGGAAGAGCAGCGCTGGGGAAGGGACTGGATGGCCCCATGGGAGGGGAGGAGTCACCAAAGGCTGAAGCTGCTCTGGCCACTCCCTTCTAACCCCCTACCCAGATTCCCCATTCAGGGAGTGAGGAGGATGTCCCCAGGGTGGGGATCAGATGGCTTTGCAGTCAGGAAAGGGCTGAGAGGAGAGACCACTGGGGGGCTGGAGTCACCTTAGCTACTCCCAGACAGCCCCCACCCGGGGCAGCAGGACCCTGTTGGTGGCACTGTCAAACAGGCTTGGAGGGGACAGCTCAAGTCCAGCTGCTCCCTCTGGTGGCCACACTGGGCAGGCGCTACCCTGCCCCAAACCCACCTCTCTTCCCAGTTCAAAATTAACCCCTTGAGTGGTCATTGCCTACTAGGGGTAGAGAGTCAACCCAAGAAAAAAAAATGATGATAATGCCATCCACTTCTACAGCATTGACTCTGCACCAGGCCCTGTCCTGAAGGGCAATCTATTAGCTCCTCTGACCTCTCCACAGCCTTCTGGGGTTGATACTATTTTATGGCTATTTTACAGAGGGACATACTGAGGAGAGAAGTCAGGTAATTTGAGGTTTAGAATACCCAGAAAGGACAGAGCCAGGGCTGGAGCCCAAGCACCAGCTCCAAGGCCTCTGCACATGATTTTGCATTCTTTCTTTAGAAATCAGAACTCATAGATAGTGGTTGTTTTTATTTAGACTAAGCTTTTAGCAGTTTGGATAGATTTTGTCTATTAAATAAGAAAAACAAATAAATGGCACTTGTTACCAAACCTTGAATAGTAGTGCTCACAGTAATGAGCACTTTCTGTGTGCCTGTCTCTATATGAATTCACTCAGTCCTCACAACAGCATCAGGAGGTGGGTAGTATTACTAATCCCCACCTTATAGATGGGAAAACTGAGGCATGAGGAATTTAAATAATGTTTCATGGCACTGGACAGATCTAAACCTAACCACTCACCCCTGCCATTGAGTCAAATGCACTGTCTTTCTCCTCCTGCTGCACACATCCAAAAAACTTGGGAACAAAGGGCTAAGAATTCAGGCAGGGTCACAAAGATCTTGGTTCCAGGCCCAGTTCTGTGTGGATTCAGGCAAATCATTCAGCCTTCCTGATCTTCAGTTTTCCCATCTGTCAAACAGGGCAATCGTGACACCCTTTTCCCAGGTGTGCTGAACATTCAGTGAGATGATGGAGGCCATGCTCCCAGCTTGGGATGCAGTGCAGGGTGGGCACCACACAGTGGTCAGTGGGCTTGGGGTGGACTCTGGACCCAAGCACACGCTTGCCTCTAAACAGCTCTGTGATTTGAGCAAGGCTCTCAGGTCTTGGTTACCTCAGCTATAAATGAGAGATGATGAACTCCTTTCAAGATTTTTGAAAACATAAAGAACTTCAGTGCAGGGGCATAGAGGGGACAGATAGGCCTAAACCACACAGTGTGCTCAGCCCAGCAAGGCTCTCACCCCAGCTTACGATGAGAAGGATGACAAGGATGATAATGATAGTCACTTCCTGTGTGCCAGGCTTTGTTCTAAAAGATTTAAATAGATCATTTCAGATAATCATTCCAACCTCCCTGTAAGGTGAATACTATTGTTATTTCCATTTTACAGAAGAAGAACCTGAGCCACAGAGAGGTTAAGTCATTTGCCCAACACCACACAGCTAGAAAGTGGCTGAACTATACTCTGAAGCAGCTGGCCCTATGAGGGGAGAAAGTCGAGGATTAACTGGAGCTGGCTGGGTGCCCCCTCCTCACTCACCTCTTTGCTCCTTGTCACCCCTCCCCAGTGCTACATAAACATCAGACTTATCATTAACCAGGGACTGCTGGTGACCTTGAGGTATAGGCGTGGGGGTGGGGGCGGGGGCAGAGGCTGAGGGCTCAGACAGACAGGGATGAGGGAGCCTTTCAAGGCCTACTGGGTCCTCTGAGGCCATGTGTGCACATGTATGTGCTTTCCAGGGCTATGCCTGTGCCTGAGTGTCAGAGTGTGCACTGTGTCCTGTGGAGCCTGAGGTCTGGGCCTGCTTCTGACCTCTTTGACTGAAAGGGGGGCAGTTTCTGCCCTTAACCTCCAGGGGGACCCTGGGAAAATTAGCTCCAATTTGCTGAGCTTAGGCTTGCTCTTTCCTAAAATGGAATTAATAATAAAACTATGTCCCGTCAGAGAACTCTGAGCCTGGCCTGGGGTTACATGTATGATCTCAGTGATTTCTCCATTTTATAAGAAGGGAACAGGCACAGAGAGATCACATGGACTGTTCACATTCACACAACCAGGAGTGGCAGAGTCCTTGTTGTGTCCTGACCCCAGGTTTCTCTGTCACCAGTGCTTTCTGACATGGCCTGCCCATGAAGACACAAGTTGTGCTGTCCTCCAGGTGGTCCTAGAGGTGACATGAGCTCAGGGAAGAAGAAGTTCAGGGTTAAACACATCAACTCATGTTTGATGTTGTCAATGTGCAAACAAAAGCATGTAGGCCTGTATGTCTGTGATTGTGTGCTGTGTGCTTGTTTGCCCACTCATGAGGTTGTGATCACAGGTGTGTGTGTGTCTGTCTTTGTGGTTGTCTGCTGTGTCCTTGACAGAGTTTCTGCTCCTCTGTGCCATGTAAATATGTCTGTGTCAGTGTGCATATGCATACAGGTTTGTGGGCTTTTGCATCTCTGAGCTTGTATAGGAGTGCCAGCTGTGTGCCTGTATGCCTGAATCTTTGAGTGCATTTATGTGTGGCATGTGTGCACTGGTGTGTTTCTGTACCACCATTTGTTAGGATATCTTCATAAGAGCATGTATCTTTGTGACTATTTGTAATAGGGGATAGTTGTGTGTCTGTGTCTTTGATTGTACCTCTCTCTGTTCAGGTATCCATCTGAATGAATATGAGTGTATGTTGTTTAGGTACACAAATGCATTTGTCTTGTTTTTTTCTGATTGGTGTAAGTGGTGTTGTCTGTGTGTGTTTTTGCGTTTCTTTCTGTGTTATTTTGTGTGTTTGTCGGCCTCTGTTTGTATGTATATACATACACGTATCTGTATGCTTTTTTGCCTATTTACCTGGGTCTGTGGGTTTCTGTATGTGTGTGTGCACATTCTTGAGGGACTTCACAGTGAGCAGTGGACAACACATACACACACTAAAATGTCTCCCAAACAGCCTTGTGGTGCTTGCTGACCAGGGCTCCGAAGAACACTGGGGTCAGGGGTCAGTGGGCTCCTCAACACTGAGTCTAGGTGTCCCTAGGCCCTGCCTGAACTCAATTTCCAGGGAGCAATACAGAATATCACTAACACCTCATAGCTCAACTTAGAAGCTCTCTGAGGCGGGCCCAAGGCGCGTGCGTGCATGTGTGTGTGTGTGTGTGTGTGTGTGTGTGTCTGCAATTCAGTCCTCTTTGCCAGCACCTCCTTTTTCCAGCTTTCCCCATGTGGCTATCTACTGTTCCTACATCTGAGCGGAGAGAGTTAACCTAGCGAGCCAGGGCGGTCTGGGCTGGGGGCCGCCCCCTGGCCCCCCTCCAGCACCAGCTCCAGTTACAGCTGCTGGTTGGGGAGGGCATGGCTGGGGTGGGGCTGGGAGGGAAGACTGCTGGGGGCGGTGCATCCAGCTCTGGGCCAGGGGGTCCAAAGTGCTCTCCCAGTCACAGCTGGACTTGGGGGCCTGATTACATCAGGGGACAGCCTGATTGGGGTGAGCATCCCCCACCCCTCCCCTCTCAGCCTCACCCTTCGTCTGGCTGGGCAGCCTATTTTGGGAGCAGGAGAGGCCAGCCCTGTCTTCCCAGGCAGGCCGGACCCAAGAGGAAGGGAGTATGGTGGAGACAGTGGGGTTCCCCAAGGGGTGGAAGTGTGGGTGTAACTTCCCTCTTCCCTGCTGCTGTCCCGTGGCTGGGTGTGGGTTGTGGACAGTCACATGTTGCGTCACTGTTTAGGGGCACTGGAGGCCTAGTTGAGCGGTTATGTATGCCTGACTATGTCTCCACCCCATGTCCTACTCTAATCATAAGTGGGGAATGGGCTCCATTTCAGCCCCACTGTGTGAGTATTTGTGTGTGTGTGAGCATGCACACATGTGTGCGTGTGTGTGTCCTTGCCCCTGGCATCTGTCTTTTATCTCATGTCACTTGCCTAGTGTTGTCCGATTGTGAAAGATGTCGCCCAGGGGTGGGTGGAGGGAATATTTTTCCTTCTTCTCATTGTTTCCAGAAGAGGAGAAGAAGGGGTGGCCTTTTCCCTAGCAGGGTTGTCCGTGACCCTGAGGAGGGGAAGGAAAGCTGTTGCCATGGTGGCCTGTGCAAGACAAATTCCTCCAGAGTGAAGTGGGAGATATTTATACCCAGGGTCAGGCAGAGTGGCTGTCAGCGGCCAGAGCAGGAGAGCTGGGATATTTCAGACACAGCGAGGCTGTGGTGTGTGGGCAGGTGGGCCCTTGGGCATGTCCTGCTTGTCTTGTCCCTTGCAGTGAATCTGCCTGTCCATGTGGGTAGAGTGAGGTCTCCTGATCTCCACTAGTGTTGGTGTGGGGAATCTGTGGCCTTCTGTGGGGAGGCCCAGGCCTGCAGGAGATCCCTGTGGGCTATGTGTATCTCACCCCTATCCCTGCTGCCATGTGACCCCCAGTGTGTGGGTTGATTTGGTGACACTGTGTCCCATGAAGGAGGGGGTGCCCTTGTTACTCAGGGTGGATGGCAAGGCTTTTGGAATTAAGTCTCAACTCTCTCTGACTTAACCCCTTGGGTTCAGGCAACAATGGTGGGTGGGTGGCTGGATGAGGGTATACATTTTCTCATCCTTGGTGTCCCCCAGGATAATGGCATCTCTCGACCACATCTTGGTTCTTTGTGTGGGTCTCCTTGCGATGACTAGTGCAGGTAAGTCTGGGTATACAGCCCACTACCCACCTCAGACCCAAGGGTGGCAGGAGTCAGGAAAACCCTGAAAGAGAACCAAGTTGGAGACTCTAGCCTAAACTGAGTCAGTTGGGGCACCAAGAAAAATTGGGGTTCTGATATGGGGTCTAGTAACAGATTAGTATTTGGGGGAGCGGAGATGATGCCCAGGTTGGGCAAAGGGTATAATGGTGGCTGGCTTTCCCAGAATGATGGGATGACAGGCAACCTGTAATGAGATGGGGAGCTGGGACAGTTAGATGCCCCCTACCCCACTCAGGACAGTGCAGAAGGGGTAGCTAAGACCCAATAGAGGGTGGGTAGCCTGCTCAGGGTCCAACTGTCCCTCAATTCTCAGCCCTGGATGGCAGAGCCCCCCAAAGGGTCTCTTTATGCTCATCCCTGTCCAGGATCCCAGGATCCCAGGGTCTCAGGAAGCATCCAACACCTCGTCTCTCTTTCTCTTTCCAGAAGCTCCACAGGAACATGACCCATTCACCTACGGTGAGGGAGGGAGGGGCATCTATGTTTGGGAATTGGGGTCAGGGGCTGGGTTTGCCTGTCTTGTCCTCATTCTCTCTCTCTCTCTCCTCTGATTCTCTCTGCCTCTTTCTGTATGTCTCTCTTTGATCTCTCTCTGTCTTTCTGATTCTCTCTTTTGCCTTTTACCTCTCAGTATCTCATGGCCCATCCTCTGCTACTTCCTGCCCTTTCTCCCTTCCCTGTCCCCCTCATCCTCGCCATCATCCTTCTCTGCTCTCTTTTATCCTCCGTCCTCCCTGCACTGCCCACCTCCTCCCCTTCCTTCACTCTCATCTCCCCGGTCCATCTCCTCCTTCTTCCCCTATCTGTTCCTTCCTCTGATTGATCTCCTTTCTCCTCTCCTCCTGCCCATCCTTCCTCCTTGCCACCCCCGTCCTGTCCCATTCTGCCCTTCTCCTCTCCTTTCCTCCTCCCCTCCCTGCCCTCACCCTCCTCCCTGCTGCCAATAGACTATCATTCGCTGCGGATTGGAGGCCTTATCATCGCCGGGATTCTCTTTATTTTGGGAATTCTCATCATTCTCAGTGAGCGCCCCCACTGCCTGCAAGCCCTGCTTTTGCCAGTTTGCACCTAAGCACCGCCTCCTCCCCACCCCGCCCCGCCCCGCCCCGCCCCTCACTGCCCCGCTTCCAACCCCGCCCTGTTTCCACCCTCAGCGCGCGCCCAGTTCTTGCCCCGCCCAGCCCCGCCCCATTCTGCCCCGCTCCTATTCCCGCCCTCGTCCCCCACCCCGCCCTTCCCCGCGGTTCCGCCCCTCCCGAGCAATGGCTGGAGCTAGGGCGCCTCTCTGTGACGGCCTAGAACGGACTCTCAGCCCTGTTTTCCCCCCACTACCTACTCACAGGCAGAAGGTGCCGGTGCAAATTCAACCAGCAGCAGAGGTAAGCGGCCTCCCAGCACTCATTCACCTACTCCCGCTCTGCAGGGCTCTGAGGGTGACGCCTGCAGTCCACCCTACTGGCGTCCAGAGCCCGACCCTTCAGCAATTTGTATTAAGCACCTACTACGTGCCAAGCCCCAAGCGAGTCCTGGGACCAAGCAATGAATTAACGGCCCTCTCTGACCGGCTGAGCTCCCAGCCCAGTGGAGGCGGTGGCCGTAGGTTCCAGCTGCTCCGCAAATATGAAATCATAAAGCTTGATGAGTCCTGTGAAGGAGCCACGGCGAAATGAGATCAGCACTTGAGTGGCCCAGTTGAGCTCAGTCTTTTTGCTAGGCCTTTGATTCATCTTTAAATTAAAACTTTAAGGCCCAGACAATGTATAAGTACCTTTTTGTGTTAAAACAATTATAGATGTTATAGTAAATAATAGCTAATATTTATTGGGCATGTCCCAATTGCCGGATACCCTTCACACTACGTCCCTGAGGTAGACGCTGTTATTAACCTCATTTCACAGATGAGGAAACCGAGGCACAGAGAGGTAAAATCACTCACCCAAGATCACTCATCTAGAAGATAAGGCCATCTCGAGGCCAATCTGCCTCTCCAGTCAGTTTTGGTCGTTCCTCCCCCACCAACCCCCAGTCCCTTCCGCAGCACTCCGGGAGGTACCCCCGGGTGCCCTCAGGAAGCGCTTCTGTCACACACTGAAAGGGCTGCTGGGTTCCCCTGATGTTCCGGCAGAGCTCCTTGCCCACCTCGGCCTCAGGGCACACCCGTCTGTGAAATGAGGTCTGCGTTAGGGGGTTTCTGGGAGCGGCTACTCCTCTCCTTTCCCATTCCCAATCCCTCTGCCCCTCTATCCCCAGGACTGGGGAACCTGATGAAGAGGAGGGAACTTTCCGCAGCTCCATCCGCCGTGAGTTTGGGAAGATTTCGGGTGTTTGGGGGTGAGGGTGGGTTCCAAGATCCCGGTTTCTGGCCCTCTCTGGGCGTGTGGAGGGCTTGAACTCAAACCGGACGGTCCCTTGCCGCTCCCCACCCTCTACGGAACCAGGGTACCCCTTCTGACACCCGACCTCTCTGTATCCCCCTCAGGTCTGTCCACCCGCAGGCGGTAGAAACACCTGGCGCGATGGAACCCAGCAGCGCCCCACAGCTCTGAGCAGGCTGGGGAAGGGAGGGGAGAAGAGGAGGGGTCGAGGGCTGGGGTAGGAGGGCTGGGCGGCTCTCCTGCCTCTCATCCTTTCCACCCTCACAGGATTCCCCTGGCGCCTGACGCCTCCCACCCGCCACCCGCGCACCCGCTTCCCCAGCCCAGTCCCCACCGACCCCTCTCTGCCTCCCAAACTTCAATAAAACGCGCTTTCCTCTCCTGACAGCATTTTGTGGATGTCAGTCCCTCTGCGCGAACGCCTGGGAAGACACCCCCTTGGACCCGGCAGGGGGCGCCCCCACTCTTGGGGAAGGGGCGGGGACGTCGGCAGTGGGCGGGGGCGGGGGCGGGGGTGGCCTGGACGGGGGCGGGCTCTCTGGGCCCCCATTGGCTACGGTCTCCCCCAACACCAGGGCTCCCCGATCTCCCCCAGACCTCGGTCCGTCCAGTTTCCAGCTGCTGCAGCCGCGCCTTCATCGCTTCGGCATCCAGCCACCCCTTGCTCCAGCGCGGCATGGCGACCCCAACCCAGGCCCCCACGAAGGGTGAGCGTCGCCTGGGGAAGGGGCGCAGGGGGGCTCCGGGATCTTAGAGCTTCAGAGAGAGGAGCTGGGGAGATATCAATACTGAAAAGGGAGGGGCGTGGGGAAGAGGATGTCCGTTCCTCCCATGGGCGGAGGCCCCTGCAGTGCACTCCTTGGAGCCCCTCTGGGCTTCTTATACACCATCTCCTGGTGGTGTCGTTCCTGCGTGGGACTGGCGGTCGGAGAGCTCAGTCCCAAGAGAAAGGATGCTCGGACCGGTAGCTATGGCAACCGGGTGGCTGGTCCTGTACAGCACAGCGATGGTAGTGGACGCGAAGAGATGGACTTTGAGGTTGAGGACCAGTGGGTCGGCAGGCACAGAGGTTCCCGCCCATTCAGGGTCCCTGAGGTGGGTAAGGGAAGGGGGTCCATATCCCTCTTTTTTCCAATGGTAGCTCTTATGTTGGGTGTTTCCTGAAATTCCTGACAGGTTCAGCGGAAAAGGGGAGAGAAAGGGAAAGACCGGCAGATGGAGGAAGCGAGAGCAAGACAGAAAGAGGGGGAGACAGAAAGGAATATAGGAGACTGAGAGAGCCTGCAAGAGATAAAAAAAGACAGGAGACCCAGAAAGAAAGATAGGAGACTCAGAGAGATTCAGGGAGGTTGAAGGGGAGAGGCAGAGAAAGAGAAAAAACCAGAGACAGTGACTGAGGTAACTGGAGAGGGAGGCATAGAGAAAGAGCAGGAGAGAGATAGACCCAAAGCGCCAGAAAGGAATAGAGAGAGGAGGAGGGGCAGCACAGGGTGGGGCCTGAACCACTGCAGTGAGCCCCCAAGGGCAGGAATGGGTGACAAGACTCTCCTTTCCAGTCCTCATTCAGGGGTGTTGTCTGGACAGGGAGGTGCACTTGGGTGCACACAGATGCAGCTCTCCACCCCCATCCAGCCACAGCAATTTACATTTCACACCCATTAACCCAGTTATATGCACCCACTTAAACAGGCTCTTTCCCCTAAGAGCCTCCTTTCCTGAACCAGCTTCTTCAGAGGAGCAAGGGGAAGACTGGTTTAATTGAGGGTAGAGGGCAGGGAAAGGGTTTCCAACATGGAAAGTGGGGCCAGGGGATAGGCTATCAATGCTGAGGAAACCCCACTCCACTCCAACCTTTCCTTCCCTGCCCCCTTTCCCGGCAAGCAGGGGCTGCTGCACTGAGCCATATCTGCAGAATTCGAAGCAGGGCGGGGGTGGGGGGGCTGCAGAGGCTGGAAGCCACCCTAGGGAGAGGGGGCAGGGCTGAGCCAGCAGGCCTGGCGGGAGCCCAGGACTTCTTTTTGTGGAGATGGTTAGCAGGATCAACGACAGCAGGCAGGCAGAGGTGGGAGGACAGATGCCTCAGCTCCGCGCTCCCCCGCGCCTTTTCCCCAGTTACAGCGTGAGACGGGACCACAGGTCTTGGGAAATCCGGAAGGGAGGAAAGCATGCTGTGCCTTGCAAACTGCTTAAGGAAACTAAATAATGGGCTGTTGGAGGGGAGAGGGGGAAGAGAAAAGTCCCCAACCCGTCACAGAGCAGGAGGGAGAGTTAGGGGGCAAACAGGGAATGCAGGAGCTCCACTGGGCCTGGGTCCCTATCCCTGAGAAGGATCCTCAGCTTGGCCAGAAGCCAGCCCAGCGGGGGCGGGGGGCGGAGGGGGGGCGGATAAAGGAAGGTACAAAGAGAGCAGAGAGAGTTGAGGTTGGCCCGGAGTTAGAAACCCAACCCTTAAACTTCCCACAGGAACACCCCCCCCCGCCCCCAAGCCTGGGGTACCAGAACCCTTCACCTCTCTCAAGATGCCCCAGTTGCCATAGCAACCACCTCCTTCCTCCTGTCTTTGGCACTTGGCCAAGAGTGGTGTACATTTCTTCTCCTGCCTCCTGGCTCCACCCTTAGCCCAGCCTCGCCCTCAGGACCCAGATTGCTGGGGCATCAGGGACCAGAAGAACTTCTACATGGAGCACAGAAGAGCCAGGGAGGAACAAAAGAGGATTCTGGGACAAGCACTCACCCAGTGGGCTTCTGAAGGTTTGGGTTAGGGAGGGTGTATGGAAACACAAGAGACAAAAGTAGGATAATCCAACTGCTCCATCTCTGATGCAGTCTCCTGCAGCCCAGAAGGAGCCCGCCCTCCCTTCCTTCTTCCTTCCTCCTTCCTTCCTTCCTTCCTTCCTTCCTTCCTTCCTTCCTTCCTTCCTTCCTTCCTTCCAACTTCTGTAAGAAACTTATAAATTCCAGGATTAACAACAGAGATGAGTCAAACAAATGTACTCCCTATCTGGTGGAGGAGCTAAGACAGAGCACAGATAACTCTAAAATACTGTTTTTGCATCTTGACACTTTTGAGAACAACCTTCATGATTTTTGCTGTATCCAAATGTTCCCTACACTGCTATTTATTTAACATTTCTTTCTTCAAATGATTAACTTTTACAAAACTTAATTAGCTTTATGTTATATTACCACCACAAATGGAAAAATAAGGATTATTTTTTTTTGCCTTAAATTGAAGGCAAGTATAAAATGATCATAAATGAATGACTTCACTTTTCTGGGTGTTAGTGTTCCTCTTCTGTGGAATGAGGATGAAGATGGCACCTACGTCAGAGAGCTGCTGTGAAAATTAAATGTAAATGTAAAGTGCTTAGAAGAGAACCTGGCATGTGCTGGATAGAGAATAAATAAAGGAGAAAACCAAATAATGTCACAAAATTTTACCTAGATACTGTTGCCTGCTGAAGTCTCTGAACCCAAGACCTGTGTTTTCTTGGGGAAAGGGGGAGATTAATAGCACTGGAAGGTGTTAAAGACACAGCACCTACCTAACACTTCCTTTTTAAAGACTGGACAGAGATCGGAGAAGGGTGAACTTACACACTGTGTGAGTCAGTCCTATTCACGATCTTGCCTAGGTGCCACCTGTATCAGTCAGTTTAGGCTAGAGCATGCTGGGGTAACAGATAGCACCAAAAATCTCAGTGGCTTCTGACAACCAAGATTTATTTCTCACTTATACTATACTCACTTATACTATCACAGGTCAGCTGAGGATCTCTATTCACCAAAGAAAACTGGAGCAATTGCCACCTTGAACATTTATGTCACCAGGCCAAAGTCAAGGGAGCTCTTGTATGGGCTCTTAAATGCTCTAGTGTGAAAGTGAGGATGGCATTTCTGCTCAGAATTCATTGGCCAGAATTAGTCACATGTCCCCTCCCTGTCCTCCCCCCTCAAGGCAGCCATCTCTCCCTGAGCCTGGAGGGGGAAGGACACTAATGCCAACAGCTGGCATCGCTGGTACCCCTCCCCTAGTGGTGCCCTAGAATTCTGCTCTAGGCAAGGCAGACTGCTGTACTAAGAGCTGTCAGAGGAATTAGGGAGCCACCAGGATGGGTTCTTCAAAGGGAAGAATGTCTTGAGCTCTCCTGAAGGGGAATATGGTTTGGGACAGGGAGATGGGATGGGGAAAAGTAAGTCCAAATATACACATATTTTGCCCACACATTAACACTTATGAAGTCGGGGTGAGTCTTTCAAAAGATGGGTGTGTTTCATGTGGTACAGTTACATATATATATATATATTTATTCATGCATAACACACACACACTGGGGAAGCTATTACAAAATCAATTATACATCTTAAAATTGGTAATGCCTTAGAAATACATAATATAAAATACAGAATAATACAGGGTATATTATAGGACAACTCCCCTGTGCTGGATTTGGTGGCAGAAGTGGGTGGGTGACAGCAGTAGCTACAGTGCCTACCTTTTAGAGCTCTCAGATGACTGAGAGGTTTTAGGGAGTGTTCAGGGGAAGCCAATACACTCAGCAGCCCCTCCGATGGTAATGGAATCTCTTTACCCCCAGCACCATAAGCACATGGGATTATGTATTTCTAGGAAATAAGTCCATAATTTGCAAAAGAGCTCCACGGGGGACTAGGACCAGGATTGCCATGTGTGGTTGGGTTGGTTGTGCACTGTACAAGGGAAGGTACCAACTAATGAATTAAGTGGCTGCTGGAATCCATCCTATGCTTCAAGCCATGTGTTCCGCCATAAAGCTGTATCACCCAAAGCCACAGGTCTCTCTGTCTGATTTCTACACAGAAACAATTGGTCCAGTGGCCCTACCTGGATCCTCAAAAATGTTAAGAAACCCAGTGTTGAAATATTTCTCCCTCTCTCTCTTTCTCTGCCTTCCTTCCCAGTTCCTCAAGAACCTGACCCATTTTACTATGGTGAGTGGCAGCTTCTGTGATGAGGGTACCATGGGGCTGGATGGAGGGGTGGCTGCAGATCAGCATGGGTCACTGCTGAAGTGGCTTCAATTGTGGCTGACATGTACTGGGCCACTAGCCATGTGACCATGTACATACACCAGCCGGCTCACAGAGGGCAGAATGAGATTGGGGTACCTTCTCTGGGCCCCATTCTGGCTTCCCCAGGACTCTGACCTGATGCATTGGGGTCACCAGAGTAGCAACAACTCTGAGGCCAGGTTAATTGGAATCCTGGGTTATTCACTCACTAACTCTGTGGCTTTGAGCAAGCAACTTTGCCTTTCTAGACCCTTCTGTAAATAAGAGAAAGTAATAGTTCCCACCTATGAGGGTTGTGGGAAAGACTTACTTGGATGATGCCATTAAATCATTCTTACAACATGCGAGCTCAAAGAAATTACTTCCAGGTTTAGCAGACCTGGCCTCAGTTCCCTCTGTAAACACCTTCCTTTGCTCACTCATACTGTTCCTCCAATATGCCAGGTGTTTTCCCACCTCAGGCCTTTTGTACTTGCTCTGCCTCTGACAGAAATATTCCTCCTCTAGCTCTTCACACAGCTGGCTAAGGCTCCTTTTCCTTCCTCAGGCCTCAGATCAAATACTGACTGTTCGACTAAAAGAGACCCTCCCTGAATCTCAGGCAAGAGGAGCCACACCACATCTATACATGGTCACATGACTCAATTTTTTGCTTAGTGCCTGATCACAATAAGAAAGTCAACTCCCTGAGGGCAGAATCCTGGACCACTGCTGCTACACAGTGGGTGCTCCACAAATTAATATTTCAAAAAATATTTACTATGGTATAATTAGACACAAATAACTCTTATATAGTAAAATAAAAGAAAGAATAAGATTAGAAAGTGTTGAAGAGAGGATGGGAAATTCTAAACAGGACAGCTAGAAGTTTTCATTGACATTTGTAAAGCCCAGAAGTTGGTAATGGAGGGATATTTGGGGAGAGAGCTCTCAGGTAGAGGGAACCACATTTGCAAAGGCCTTCAGGTAGGACCATGACTGATATGGTCCAGGAATAGCAGGGAGACTAGTGTGCCTGGGGTTCAGGGGTTGAAGGGAAGTAGAGTAGATGAGGCCTAAGAAGGAACAGGGACTAGATCTTATGGGGCCTTGTGGGCTATGATGAGGACTTTGGCTTTTACTTGGCATGCAATAAAAATGGGGAGGGGAGAGGGACAGCTCTGAGCTGAGGAGGACCCTGATCTGACTCAGATGTTAAGGAGATCCCTCTGGCTGAGGGGTGGGGGGAGGGACAGAGATCATAGAGAAGGCTGCTTGCTGCCTTCCCTAGTAGTCCAGACATGCAACAATGGTGGACAGGACCAGGGGAGGAAGCATATATATATGACCTCCAGAGGAGGGGGTAAGGGACAGAGAGGACAAAGGGAGCTAGATCCATCCTCACAGTAACCCACTGGAGGAACCTCCAGCACAGCCTGCATCATCCCTGAATTTTGAACCTCTTTCTCGGGTATTTGAAGCCAGGCTGGTGGAGGGGAGCTAAGGTGCCACCCCCACCTTGATGTCTCCCCTTATCTTCCCCAGACTATGACACTGTGCAGACTGTGGGCATGACTCTGGCTACCATATTGTTCCTGCTGGGCATCCTCATCATCATCAGTAAGTGTGACCCTTTTCTGGGCTCTAAAACCCCTCAAAGAGGACCACCTTAGGGTCAGGCACCTACAGTTCCCCTGCTGGCTTTTCACCAGACCCTTACATCCTGTCTTCTTGTTCTGCTTATCTCTCTCCCAACAGGCAAGAAGGTGAAGTGCAGGAAGGCGGACTCCAGGTCTGAGAGGTCTGGCCGCAGTGGGGAGAGAGGGAAGAGGGGTGGGGGAAGTAAGAGAAGGGCTCAGGGCCTGCCTTGTGTTTTATGTAAAGCCTGCTGCTATTGAGCCTCTTTATGCTTTTCTCTCCATCTTTGCTTCCATAGCCCCACATGCAAGTCCTGTAAGTCAGAGCTTCCCTCCTCAGGTAAGGGTGAGAAAGTGTGTGGTTCTGGAAGGAGGACAGGTGGGAGCAGAAAGAGGAGTAATTAGAAGGGGAGTTTCACTGGATATCCCTAAGAATGGGGCCACCAACCCCATGGATGGACATAGGAAATTCAGTAGGAGCCAAGATCCTGAAGATCAAAAATGTTAAACCATGACAAGTCATTGGTATGTGAAATGTCCTAAAGGGTCCACTAAGCCTCCAGAAACAAGTACACAAGCCTATAAAAGCAAGGATGAACTAATTCCCCAGAGTAGAAAGTCATAAGCATGGGAAGTGAGGAGCCCCACATGGGAAAAGGACTTTCTGCAGTCAGATGAAGACAGAGGTGAGCACTAGAGAAGCAGGAAGACAGAATGTTTTTCAGACTTAATTGTTCATTTTGGAAGATCTAGGATGAAATGGTGGAGAAAAAGGAAGAAGAAGGGAAGGGATTGGGAGGAAGGGGTGAAGGAAGGAAGAAGGGCTTCTGAATAATAGTATCAAAATAACAAAAGGAGAGATGGATAAAATACAAATTTTAAAAATTTATGTAAGAAGTATGAGGATGAAATGATAGAAATTTTAAGAAAAGGATACAAAGAAAAAGGGATTGAGGGTGAGGATGAAGGGGATGGAGGTGGCAGGAGAATGGGATGTAGGAGGGGTGGGTGCCGAGGGGAGTGGGGGTATTGGTGGGGGAGAGTGGGTACAGGTGGATGAAAGGTGTAAAGGAAGTTGGAGAGAGATGTAGGCTGTAGGACGAGGACAAGCATGTAGATGAAAGATTGTGACTCCTTGGGGGTGTTAATTTTAATTATGTAAAAATATCTCAACCTGTTTTTAGTGGAGCTGCTTTCTCTCCCCCTCTCCTCCCTGCTTTTTAAAAAGGAACTTAAAAAAATCAGATGAGAATATCTCTGTCTCTTAAAAAATGGGCTTTGGGGTACTCAATATTTGGGGGGGGATTTGGTGGGGGGAAATTTCATGTGTTTTTCATGTTCTTTTAATGAGACCTAAAAGCATTAAGGGGACATTTTGTGGATGATTGGAGAAGATGGCCCTGATGCCTGGGTCTAAGAACATATACAAGATTCTGACCCACTCTGTTTGAGTGATGGTCCCATGTGGGTTGGAAACAGGCGAGTTCCTATTGTGTCCCAATGTTCAGGAGGCTGTGTATGGGTAACGGGAGGTGCAGGAGGAGTTTGGGGGGCATGGGAGGGAGATGGAGACTCCCTTTCTGGAAGGAGGAAGCCACAGAAAAGCCCAGGCTGGGCCAGCATGCCTCAGCCTCTTCACAGGTGTGTTCCTCTCTATGGCAGTGTCTTATTGGGCAGGACAAAGACACACAGGTGTCCCTATATGGATCACACATTAGAGAGTGGAGAAGCAAGACAACTCAAGGGTGCCAGTCCTGGGGATCTGTATTCCATGGTGGGGGTGGAAGGCTCACTGGCTCTGGGGAGGGGGTTGCTTTCACCCCTCTAGGCGCTGACCCAGGCTAGTTCTTATTCTCTCTTGCTCCCTCTCCCTCCCTCTCTCTCTCTCCAGCCCCTGGAGGTGGTGGCGTGTAACACCAGCCTCCCGGCACCTCCACTGCTGTCCCTGCCTGAGTGTGGGAGCCTGAGGACCGGGTGGAGGTGGTGGGGATCCCAGCCTTGCGCTGCTGGGAGCAATCCCCGGAATGAGCCGCCCCACCCACCCCGAGCCTGGAGCCGCTGCATCCTGCTGCCCCTCCCCAGGCCTTGGCAATGATGACCCCTCAAAGACCCCATCTGCGTCCCAGATCCAGAGACTAACGTCTCCAGTTCCTGGAGTCCAGGAGTCCAATGCCCACCCAGCCCCCACAGTCCCCCGTGTACTTCCCCTGTGCACCTCCTTGTCTCCTCTCCAAAGACCCATTCCCCTGCACCCTCAGTGTTTATGTCTTGAGCTAAATAAATGTGCATTTGGTTTTTCCCCTTGTTCTGTCTGTGTGTTCTCATCTGTGGGGACGAAATGGGGGAGGGACAAAACTGAACCTGGGGGCCTCTGACCAAGTCCCCAGAATTGTCCCGCCTTCTCCTTCCCTTCTCCAGTGGTTTCCTCCTCTTTCTCTGAGCCCCTCGAGTTTCTCTTCCCCTCCCTCAACTACCCCTCCCCAGCTGGCCCTTCCTTCTCCTACCCCAGAGGCCTTAATAGACCCTTTTCCCTTCTCCTGCCCCCCTTCGCAAAGAAGACCCACCCAGCTAAGACCTGCCTGCACGGGCAGTGTGGGTGGAGGTCACTGCCCTGCTTCTCACCCCTGCACCCCCATCACTCTTGGCGTCTACCCCCCTCCTGCTCCTACCCCGGGCTCTTGAAGTCAGGAAACCCAAGAGGAAATGACTGAGCCCGTCTGGGTCCCCGCCCGCCCGCCCTCCTGCCTGCGCTCTCCTGGCCACACCCTCTGCCTGGGCGCAGCTGCGGCAGCTGCCCTCTATCCACGAGGCTGCTCGGACCCCGGCTCCGAGGTAAGTCTCTCCTCCGACCCTTCTCCACTCTCTCCCCTCGGCCCAGGGCCCGAGCCCAGGTGGGTAAAGACTGGTCTTAGCGGATCCTCTCTGCCCCCATTCATGCTCACTTCTCTGGCCTGCTCTTCATTACAGACATCGTGGGCTGTCCTGCTTCTCTCCCTCCTGCCTCACTCTGCCCAGCTCTCCTCTGTCCCTCCACGACCACTTCTTCCCAGATCTGCCCAGCATCCAGTTCTATTGTCCCTGCATTGAGGTCCTGACATCAGTCACTTTTTCCTCTGAGATCAGGAGCACATTACTCACTCTTCCTTTTTCCCTTCCTTGCTGACTCCTCCACTTGGGGACAGCCCCAGAAAAAGAGAGGAGGCCGCAGGATCTATTCTTGTGCCCCAGACCCTTCTTGGTGGCCATCAGGGTCAGTCTGAGTGGGGCAAGTGCTTCTCTGCCTCACAGACACTGGGTGTCTGTGTACAGTGGCTGCTACTGGAAGTCCAGTTTGGTCTGACATGTCTTGTTTTCTTTGGGGACCTACAGAGAGAACAGGGGAGTGGCGGCTGGGAAGCCTCACTTCTGAGACTCTCTTGTTAGCCCTAGGAGGGGGTCCTTGAAGGCAGAGATACCTGCTCAGGTGGGGGAAGGGGCCAGCAGGATCCCTAGGGGCTGACCTGGACCTGCCTCACTAACATCATGGCTGACTTCAAGTCCTGCTCTCCCCATAGATGTCACCCTCTGGTCGCCTGCACCTCCTCATCATTGTTGGCCTGATTCTCATTACCAGAGGTAAGGCCTGGCCCTTTTCTCCACCCTGCTTCAGAGTCCCCAGCTCTACCTGAGTGCCCTGGCCTGTGTCCTCAGTCCCACCCCCGACTGAGCTGGTACCAAGAAGTGGGGGTCCTGATGAAGGGGCCAATATTACACCATTTTCAGACACTGCAGACCTGGGTGGCTGCTTCCAACAAGTCTAGCCAGAGCCTGTCCTGCTGAGCAGCCTCCATTCACTTCCAAGAAGAACTGAGTTTGATTTGGCAGGGAGATTGGTGTCAGTTTTCTACTCAGCAGCCAGGAATCCTGGGGTCCCAGCAGAACAGCTCTCTGGATCCCTAGGTGATACACAGTTAGGCAAAGGGGGTGAGCCAGGGCCAGTCCAAGAGCTGGACATGTCTCCCCTTTGCTTGGGAAGCCTTCCCTGAAGACAATAGCTATGGTGGCATTGACAGGTGCTTTCTACATGGCAGTGTGCAGAAGCTGGCCTTGGGTTCAGCTTTACTGTATTATACATATTGTTCTGCCTGTTATACAATGAGGAAACAGGCTCAGCTAAGGGAAGTGCCTGTGCCAGAGGCTAGTGAGTGAAGGGGCTGGAATCCAATCATCGTGCCTGTCCCTGGAACCCGAGCCTACTCTCCCCTGACTGTCCCAGTTCTCTTAGATAAAATGATTTTCATGTATTCCTTCAGGCATTCAGCAAGTATTTGTTGATCAGCTACTATGTGCTAGATTTAATTTCATACATTGTGGAAACAGCAATGTTTAAAAATAGGAGCTCACATTCTATTTTGGAAAGAGAAAATAAATAGCTCATCAGTAAATTATATAGACTGCTAGATGGCGATATGTGTTATGGCGAAAAATAGAGGAGAGGAGTGAGGATTGTTTAAATAGGGTGGTCAGAGAAGACCTCACTAGGAGGTGACATGTGGGCAGACACTTGAAGGAAATGAGGGAATGAGCCAAGCAGGTATCTGGGGAATGAGTGAGTCTGGTGAATATAAGAAACAGCAGGCATGCCAGGTGGTTTGGTTAGGGGGAACAAGGGGTAGGGTAGGCAAAAGAGAAGTCAGAGAGGTGACAGGGGTCCAGATCAAGGGGGAGCTTATAAACAGGGTGAGGACTTTGGATTTTACCAAGTGAAAGGTACAGCCAGGGGAGGCTCTGAGCCAGCCAGGCCACAGTCTATCTCAGGTGTTCACAGGCTTCCTCCTCTGCCGTGTCTGGGGAGCAGACTGTAGGGGCAGGACAACAGCAGGAGACCAGGGAGGAGATGGCTGTGGTGTCCAGGAGGGAGAGGATGGAGGCTGGGCCAGGGCGAGGCAGTAGCTGTATCCAGCATTGACTGCATGTTAAGTTGTAGAGGAGACTCTTCCCCGCTTCATCTCATTTCACCCTCTCTACAGCCCTCAGAAGTAGATTCAATTATCCTCCCTTTGCAGTTGAGGCAACTGAGGCTCAGAACAGGGTCTTTATTTGCTCTAGGTGATACGGCAAGGAAGGTGTTGGGAACAGAATTTGAGATCAGGGCCCTGGCTGACTCTAGCACCTGGGCTGAACCATCTCCCATCCCACAAGGATGGGCAAAGAAAGGTGGCTGGAGGAAGGGTGCTGGGGCATTAGCACTTCTTAAAACAATTCCAGGATCATGGGTTGAAACCAACAAATCTGATCAATCAAACAGCTGCGTGCTGTTCCACCAGCAGAAGGACCTCTCAAAATACCACCCAAGGTATCAGAGGGAGGGCAAGGATGCAGATTGATGAGAGGGAGATCCAAGGCTCTTCCCTGGCTTCTCATTCTTGATTTCTCAGGACAGACATTGGAGGAGGCCACATCCATTTCTCTAGCAGTCACAGCCACTGAGGACATTCATGCCGTGACTCAAACCCCAGGTGAGGCAAGAGGGACAGGTCTGGTAAGTTTCTGTCATTGCAAGTAACAATGGCAACAAAAATCTCAAGCTGGACCAAACAGAAATTTTTGAATTTGTATAACTGAAAGTTCAGGGATAGATCTTCAGGCATGGCTTGATCTAGGTTCTTAAATGATGCTATCAGGAACCTGTTCTCATCTCTTGGTTCTATTTTCTCTGCGTTGGCTTCATTCTCAGGCAGATTCTCTTCTTATAGCACCAAGATGGTATCTAGATATCTGGGGCTTTCATTACCTGCTAAGAATCTGAAGGAAAGAGAATTTCCCTTTCCTCAATCCAGTAAATATCCCAGGACTGAGTATCATTGACCAGGCTCAGGTCACATGCCCACCAGTGAGCTTATCATTGTGGCCACAGGCACAGAAAACGGATTAGCCAGATCTGGGTCTCATGTTCAACCTTCAGCAGAGCTGGTGCCAGCCCCAATGAACTAAGGAGACCAAGTGTCAGTAAAGGATGGTTCCCCAAAGGAAGTTCTGGGGCTCTTACCAGGGGTAGGTGGATACTGAGAAGAGGAATGGGCATCTGTGGGAGGGTAGGGCCTGAGGCAGGGGGAGATGCTAGCATTGAATTTAGGCAATGAGGAAGTGGCTGGGTTAATTAACTCATTTCCATTACATCAAAATTTAGTTGCTATGGAAATCTCCTCATACTGCCTACCATTCATGGACCTTCTTCAGTATTTTCTCTCTTCTCTCCCTGTTTCTGGACTGCAGATACAGTTCACCCAGAACTCCAGACATCAACCCTGCAGGCTAGTGGTAAGTGAGGCAGCAGTGTGGGGGCAGGTGGGTCTGGGGCAGACATTGTTTCCCCTTTTCCTTAGACACCCTTGGCTTTTGGTTGCCCATTCAGCCCCCCAGCTCTGAATCCCCTGGTTTAATTTGTGGTGGAACAGCCAACTCCACTCACTTCTTTAAAAAAATCTTTTGGAATTGTGAAAAACACCATGCATGTAGAAAAGTACAAAAACCATAAATGTACAACTTAGTAAACTATTCTGAATTGAACCCCTGTATAATCACCACCAGGTCAAGGAATACAGCTTTGCAAACACCCTACAAATTTCTCACAGGCCAACTCCATGTACTGCTTACTTTAATTTCTTTACTTTTCCTTTTTTGAATTTTCAAGTCACTTTTTAACTTTTTCTTGTAGTCTAATATAGTTCAAAAAGTGCTCCTCAATTTTTTCCATTAATGTTTAATGATATAGTAGTGCATAAACACATTCTCCTCATAAATAATAAAAATGTGGTAGGCAAGACAAAATCCCTTTGTTCATTCCTCATCCTTTTCTGTCCCCATCTCTGGGAGGCTGCCACTTTAGCAATGGGTTGGGGGTAGTTCCCCAATGAGACTGCACCACATGTGTGTAACCTGGAAAAACGATGCTGACTGGGAGGTGTATTCATGTGAGCTTAAGGATATTAAATGATTGTCATTCTGCAGCTGGCTTCCTGCCACCCAATGAAATAATGTATGGAAGCTCTCCCACATTCCCACAGAGACATTGATCTTGGTTTTTTTCAGTGCTGTGTTCTCCACAGGGTGCCCACGCACAGTTAATGAAGCTGTGCATATCTTGATGAGCACCTTGGTTGCTTACACCACTTTGGTTCCAAATATGTTACCCTTGATCACTCATTCAATTCTCACACAAACCCTCTGAGGTAGTAGAAATGATCATTATCCCCACATTACAGACAGGGACATGGAAGCTCACTTGCCCAAGTAACTTGCCCAAGGTGTCATAGCAT